ATATATCACCACAATGCGGTACACCAGAGTGCGTCCGTCTCCCCATGGTCGGTACGCTACGAGTACGGCAGTCCTTCTGGCAGAACTGATCAAAGTTACCGCGGGCTTCGCGTTCTTGCTGTTGGAAGCTGGGCCAACCAACGCCTGGAAGCAAACTCATCACGCATTCGTCGAAGAGCCCATGGAAACTGTGAGACTTGGACTTCCGGCATTTCTGTACGCAATTTTGAACAACTTGGCAGTGTTCGCGTTGAATCACCTCACGGTGTCGAGTTACCAGATTCTCTTTCAGCTCAAGATCCTCACAACTGTTTTCTTTTTGTATGTGATGATGAACAAAAAGGTGTCCATGGTGCGATGTCTGGCTTTGGTGATCCTGGGTATTGGAGTATCCACTGCGCAGTTGTCCAAGGTGCAGAGTGTAAAGAGTTCAACCGGAAACAATTTCTTGTTAGGAATTCTCGCCGTTGTGATAGCGACTATTCTGTCGGGATTCAGCGGGGTGTGGACAGAGAAAATTCTCAAAGATACACCGTCTGAAACCTGTAGCTTGTGGATGAGAAATATTCAGATTAGTACCATGTCCATTCCATTTGCGAGTCTTGCGTGTTCAGCATCGAGTTTCCAGACAATCACTGAAAATGGGTTTTTCTACGGTTATAACGACGTTTATGACTGGATGGTCCCTGTGCTCAGTGCAGCTGGTGGATTACTTGTGATCTCCGTCATGAAACATGCCGACAACAATGTGAAGAATTTCGCAACCTCTGTGGCAATTCTCCTTGGAGTTTTCTCGGATTATTTCATCTTTCACGAAAGTTTCAATCCTACTCTGTACGGAAGTGTTTTTCTCGTCATTTTTGCTATTACGGTATACGCAAAAAATCCAAAATGCAAGTGCTTTGAGTAATAAACAAGCTGCATCGGATGCCATCAACTTCGCTTCACTCATAGTTCATACAACAGCATATCAAGTGATAAGCTCACTACCAAACCATATTATCACGCATATTCTGTACTGTAGTAATAAAATACTGTACAGTACTTTACAATGAACCTCACTCTGTTAAGCAATCTTATTTTCCGCACATAAATCCTTACATTTTGAAGTACGTTTTATTAATCCGAACAAGCTGGTCAAGTATTGAAAGTCCTTGGGTACACATGTTGCTTGCTCATGAAAAACTACACAGAATTTTTAAATTAGGAAATCATATCATCGAACTGGAAATTAAAAAGATGCCCTACAAAAGAATGCAGACCCTAAAGCCAATCTTATTTCCATTGAAGAGAAAGTTCACCTTTAAATGCATCACTCCAAATCCAATGAAGTCCTATATTAGGAATACGGGAATTTCAGTAAAAAAAAGAATGAATTAAAGAGGGTTTTGTTTGAGCAAGGAATTTTTCAATAATTTTATCATAACTTGTTTATTTTGAGTGAAATAAAAATCGAAGCATTTCAGCGGTTAATGTAGCTATCCATACATTTTAAAACAATTTTTTCAAAAACTGCCAGCAACTTATAATTTTGTCAGGTAAATTTTTGGACATTATTCTGTACTTTCTTCCAAAGCCAAGAAAATATTAAACTTGTGAATGGATTCTTCCAATATTTGTTGACTGAACGGAAGACGATAAAAATTCGTGGACGATATTGTATTTCATAGGTCACAAAGTTGATCTACTAAATAGCATCAAAGCAAGGTTGCAAGAGCTGGAGGCATGTTTGCATGCAAATCCTTGATCTTCTTCCCCTCAACTATTTTAAACCAAACTTACGAACATCAAAAGCTAAAAAAAAAGAATTCTGAACAAAAATAAAAATAAAATCATTCCATTTCCGCGAAATATATCCCACAAAAAAACAGCCGACTCCATTTTCGCGTCTAAAACTAAGATAATCACGTGAAATTTACATCCCCATCACACGTCGCGTCTAAGCAAAGCTTTCCGAAATCAGCTCTTAAATACTGCGCCAAATTTGGCAACTTAATAGCTTTCTGATTTCCTGGCCAACATTCGAATTACAGGAAAATTCCATAAAAATTGTATCGGAGAACCGACGCGAGCCCCTGTTGAAAAAGGAATGCGTGACAAGATTTTTGTCATTCAAGGCAGAGAGAGGTGGCAAAACGAATATGCAGGAATAAGAAATTTCAACCGGAAAAACGACAATGCGAACATTTCTTACTAGTGCACAAGAGGCACAACAATCCCAGCGGGAAAAAGAAGACGGCGCAGCACATTGTTATCCACGGAAATTCCTCTTGAATTATCCCAATCTAGAAGAAAGAAGTCCGAAATCTCAGGATGCGCGAAATGAGAGAAATGAACAGATGAAATCATGATTTCCTACAGGAAATCGTAAGGGAACTTACAATTAAACTACGCGACAAAAAGGTCTGATCAGATGAGGATGAAAAATTAGAGGCTCAATCATTTTCTGCTTTTAAATTTACTGGGAACATTTGGCTCGCTTGAAATTTTGTATGGGCATAAGTGGGGCTTCTCAAAAGTGTGCAGAATCACATCACCCACAATTTTCATTGGAGAGGGACAAAAACTGGAGGATAATCTGCTATCACTTTTTCTTGATACAGTAAAATCTTGTTACAACTGACTTGGGGACTTCAGAAAAATGTTGCCACAACAAATAATATTTTATACAGTAACAAGCTTTTCAAAATTTTTGACTGATTGGAAGATTTTTAAAATTAAACCTGCATATATTCAAAATCTTCCTTTTTTGGTCTTTCCAGACTTTTTTCAGGGTTTAAACTTCCAAAGAGAAATGTAAATGTTAAGACCAAATATTAACTTTGAATAACAGGTAAACACTAGCACTTTTTTTTACCAAGTTTTTCCAAGCAATTCCTGCACAGATTTGTAAGAGTGGATGTTCAACAAAATTTTACAATTTCAAGCATCAGTATAGGGCTCCTCATGCATAAAAACCCCCTTTCAACATAAATTTTGCTGGGTTCATTTTCTTCATTAAAATTTTTATACCATGTTTTCTGTAGGATTTCTGCCAGGACTTGGAAAAAAGTTTGTTATACAGTACAGAAAAATTTGCTGTACCAGGATTTGTTGTACCAAGATTTTACTGTATTCACTTCTTGCAAAATTGTATTGAATATCAATTTTTGAATATTTTCATCAGCAAAGAAAAACCAATCAACAGTCTTTCAAAGAGTGCATTTTGCAGATTTTTTAAAGAATAATTTCACCAGCTTTACATCACTCCTGTGCACATCACGTAGAATGAATTTTTTGCATACTGTACAGTACTGTGCTGGACTCAGATTGCCGCCAATTTCAGCATAGGACAATAGAACCTGGTTTGAAAAATTGACCAAGCTGAAAGTGTCTTCCAAAAAATCGAGGTTGCCGCAGCAAATGTGGTCTACAGCATAATTTCTAGAAGTATTCCATTTTTTTTATTATCCTGCATTCAATTTGGATCGTTAATTTATTCCATCATTCATTCAGGTATTTACAGAGGATGTGATATGAATTTGAAATTCAATATTTGATCAGTAATCATTTCAGGGACTTCCTAGGGGATCGAAATCCAAGGAGTCAATCTTCATAGCTTTCCATTCCTCAGTTGGAAGACGTTTCGGATAATGGAGACTTCTCACAAGGAGAGATCAAGTTCATTTACAAACCCTACTTTGCATCAGGGGTAAAGAGGACACCTTCATGCGTTTCCCTATTCTGTTTCACGAGACAGCCGAACTTCAAAAATATTTTTCTACAAAAAATAGGAACGCTACTCACCCTGCAACGTGAGCAGACCCCCAAGTTGCGAAACACGAAACCGGTGCTGGAGATGGGGTTGCTGACTACCCCGGAAATAACCGTGACGGGTCCGTTCTGGGTTTGGTACTGCACGACATTCTGTCCGGTCACTGGAACCACAACAATTGAAGGGTTCGGGGGAGCGTAAGGATACTGCGGCTGCAAGGGCGCTTGTGGGCCAGCATAAGGAGGCGCTGTTGGGTGCCCCAAATTGAATCCTACAAACAAAACAAAAATCGCAGCAAGCGGATGTTGAAACAACAACCAACTCTGAGTCTAGGTCCCATTGTACATTCCACTCAAACTAGGAAAAAAAAAATTTTCAGGTACAGGGGGCCCCAACATACGGACACCCTGACATGCATATAATTCATCCTATGGACACTTGAAACTTGAAAATTCTTCCCACCAATCTGAAGAAATGTCTCAAGATATGGACACATGACCAAAATTTTGAGAAAAATGAAACCATATTACGGGTAGACTCTCTCTATGCGTAATATCCTAATGATTTTTTCTCTACAACGATTTTCTACATAAAGAAACTTTTGTCTCATAGGGGGGATTCTCTTTAGTCTATACAGCAATTTTTCTCGTCCCACAAATTTAATTTAGAATTCACCTGTATTTTTCAAAATTTTTACGTCTCTTGAGCAACTGCCTTTGACATAAAGCCAAAATGAAACTCGTCATAAAAATTATTTTCTGTAACAGTCTGATTTTGTGCTTCTCTTCTTGGAGTTTTCCAGAACAATAACTCAACACAGTAGAGAAAAACATGTGCTGGTTTCTTTTCTATTGGACTCCTTTTCAAGCCAAAAGGAAACACGAAGTGATTACGTCCAAATTTTGGGATTCACAATTCAGGGCATCACTGTAGTTCAGGAAGTCAATATTTTTCTGATTTTTGACACTCGAGGCATAAAATTTGCACGCAACATTTTTCAGGAATCAAGAAATGCATCAAGGACATCATTCCTTTTCAGTGCACTGTACTGTACTATTTTTTTCTGAATCACATACTCAACTAATTTAAATGCTTCCGGACAATCTTAATGATTTTTTTTCCTTTTGATACGTACTGCAAAACCTATCAGAAATTGACGATGAACGTGGCATTTAAATTGAACAAACCTGGAGGTGGGGGTTCGTACGGAGGCGGCAGATCTTCATCGGGCACCTGCTTCATAACACGCCGCTGCGCAATGCAAAAAAACGACCCCCTGCGAAATAAAACGACACTCAAATTACCACGCGGATAATGAATCAGATCAGCAAAAAATCAAGTCATACAAGAGCTCATCGACGGACCCTTCGGAATGTGACGTCTAATTACCGCAGTGAAACTGCTACTGTACCAATAACCCAACAGCCATCAAATCCGTGGCGATACACAAAAACCCGAAAAAACAAAATCCGGCGCGAGATCAATTGGTTCATCAAGCAGCAACAAAAAAAGGAACACTGGAATTATGTTTCTCGCTCCCGCCTAGGAAAATACTTCACCGCAAAATCCCCCCTTCTCAAGGACCAGATGAAAACACTCCTCCAGACTAAAAAATTCAACAAAATGTTTCACAAAACAAAAGACAAATTGGCGAAGTGGAGAAATTATTCCGCAACACAGGTACTTTTTGCTGGGCAACCTGCTAAATTTCCAACGTCAGAAGGCTCTCAACCAAAGCCTCTCCTTCCAAATGCAAAACTCCGCGGGACTAGATTCGACACACACACAAACAAACAAAAAAGCCAGCCATCTTGATCTTTTCACAGAGCTGTGTTCATAATTTTGACAACCGCTAATGCAATTAAAATGAAGGAATTTTGACACAGACACCTGTGTTCAAGCTTAAAACTTGGTCTGACCATTCTTTCGCAAAATAAAAATGAAACGTATTCACCTTAAATAGCTCGAAATATTATCCGAGATTCAAAACCAAGTTCCACATATAAGTGGAACAAAAATTATCCTCGCTTGAACTGATCTCACACGTGAAAAACCATACTCAAAATTCAGATAAGCAAGATATATATTATTAATTCGAGGTTCCTGCACACTTCGAATTTTTTAACCTGTCGTTTTTTTTTTCACTGAATTGTGGCATTTCGTCAGGGGTAAATAATTTTTTTTAATTCATTTCCCAAAATAAAAATTGTGATTATTGTGAGAGTCAATTCACCTTAGGACTTGTGGACTGTCGATAATGTCATTTCAAATTATTTTTTCAACAAATGCCTTGACGGATTTTGGTCATTCAGGAAAAGGCCCTTAATAATGAGCCAGAATAAAAAGAGCTTTGGTGCGATCAGCTCATTTTCTTGCGAGTAAGCACAATTTTGCTCATCACTTAATTTGAAACAAAAAATGTGAAGTAAATTTTCACAGGAATAAATTTGAGCAACGCGTAGTACACAACGTGCTACCTTGTAGATCCCTAAATCACACGGATATTCGAAGTATGTAGGAAGATATCAGCGCAGTGCAAGTGCAAGGCTAAACAAAGTCACTTAGTCTACTTGGTTCTGGGTTCCTCCAGGCCACAAAAGCACTTCCGTATGTGAATCTTTCACAGCGTCAGTCCTTTCACACTTGATTTCCTTTGCTCAATAACTGCCCGGTAGTAAGTTAACCTACATTAGGTCTTCTACTATACGCTTGTTCGCACAAATGCGAAGAAGATTTGCGGTGCAAATCTCGATCAAAGACTATGTTGTCACAAAAATATAAACACGACCCTGGTGAAAAGATCTCAAATGCAGCAAAAAGCTCGTTCTGAGAAGTGAAACGCTTGAAAAAACCCCAAAAGCAAAGCACGCACTTGCCCCGAAGTCCCGCTTAGGAAAAAAACAACAGAACAAAAAACTTGAAAAAAGGTTTGAATTTTTTTGTGGAAAATTGAACCGTGGCTTTTCAGGCATCCGCGGACGGATGATTCCGACGGTGGGCATCAGACCCTAAAGTTTTCTTGCCTCTTCTTTCGTTTCAGTCTCTAAGAGTTCTTGACAGTGTTTTGAACTTCAGTACACAGGGAAATGGCCAACTGATTAGCAAATTCTTCAATGCCTTCAGCTTCTTGCGGAGGAATCCGTTCGTAAACACGAACAACCGGAAGGCTAGTCGGTCGCCTCCGCTGTGCTTCTTTTCTCGATTCCATCTCCAGCGTCTACATAAAAGCAGATTCGAAGGAGAAGAGTACAGTAAATGAATAACGGCGTGAGAAAAAAAAACGAAATGCTCAAAAACAATAAACCCGTGCAGAAACAAAGGATCAAAGATTTGAGGGATAAATAAAGCAGAATACAGTGCATCATAACAGCTTTGAGGTGTGTCAAAATCTTAAAAAATGGCTAATAAAGAAAATACTAAAAATGTGATTTTCCCGAATGCAATCCAGCTTTTCATCTAGGATATTGAGCAAAAATAGGGTAGTTCACATGATCAAATCATTTCTGAGGATTACATGCATCATTTACTATCACCACATATTTTTTCGACCTTCTTAATTTTCGCAATTTTTTGCGAATATTACGGTAGACGTCTTTAGCATTTGCAAATTAAAAACGGCAATTTCCATTATTTAAAAACAACATTAAGCTTTTAATATGAATCGAATTCCCGACGTTTAGAAATTTTTTCGGCACACGCAGTACTGCACACGTACGTACCACACGAAAAAATACTGCAAACTCCACATGCACATGCAAAAAAAAAAATCAAGCGTACGAACTCAAGACTAGAAATCTGACGAAAACAAAGAAGGTACACCTACGTTCGGTTCTTTTTCACCCGCGGAAGGTTTTCAAGCAAGGGTTTCCTGTCTGCTAAAAAAAAGGCCAAAATTGATGCAAAAGAAGAGAGAGAGATTTCAAAGCAAGAAAAGAAAGCCGGAGTGGAAAGAAACAAACCGAAGGAACAGTCCGCAAGAGAGCGTCATCGGAAACGTGGCAAAAACTCTCGCCACGGACAAGCAGCTCACCGACACGGTTTTCACTTGTCTCTTCTTCCTCGTCATCGCCCACTTTTTCATTCAGCTTCTCCTTGTTCACCACATTCCCTTCCTGATGTTTCTCCGTCAGCTTCTTCAATTGTTCGCTCATTTCTCGCATCGACTCTTGCAACTCCTCCACCTTCGCACACAGAACACATTCCGGAATGATTCAAATGTCATTAGCGACACGAGAGTTAATAGAAGAAAAAAACACTGAGATTCTTCGCGAAACATGCCCGATTTCAAGACCCTTTCGAAACACAGCAAGATAACTTGAAAATGAAAATACAGTCAAACCTCAATAAACCGCCACCATCTGTTCGTGGCGGTTTAAAGGGGTTGGCGGTTTACCAAAAAAAGCTAAAAAGTCATCAAAAATTGAATATAATAGGATATAAAATTCGTATTCGTCTGAAAACAATTAGAATGACCCTGGAACTCGTAAATTATATCTAGCTGAATGTTTCCATGAAGTGTATTCCGTCGTCTTAATGTTTTTTTTTTGCTTTTTTTTCAATTGGAGACCTCTTGCAAAAACTTGATTCTTGTTGGCGGGCAATCAAAGACAAAATTTATTGGCACGAGCATATTTGAGTTGCCAATCATTTCAGCGTCTCAACAGGGTTTGACTGTAATTGGCCACTGAACTCCCTCAATCGTTATTTTTTTCACGTCCAGACTCCAAAAATTTAATTTTTTTTCTGTTACTCTTTCTTTTAAGTCGACCTAACGGCGAAGAAATGTGTCCTCGCTCGATCAAAAAAATGCGAAAACTAACTTGAGTAGACAAATCGGCACATCGACAGCAACCCTTGACACTTTCCCTACTGCACCCTCCTTCATCACTGGCATCAGAGTTACCAACGACCAGTTTATGCAGTTCCTTGATCGCCTTCGTCATCAACAATCGCATTTGCCGCTCGTTCTTCAATGCATCAGTTGCTTCGCGCAACTCTTTGCTCATTGCCATAACGTGGTCCTCTGTCCTGGAAGACCGCAAGGACCAAAGCTTCTCTTTCACAGCAGAATCCAAATTTCGAGTTCTGTAGCCTCGCCAAATTTTCTGAATGGACAACGCGGCGGACTTTTTGGCGTCTTCGTCGTCGTCTCGGGATGACGTCAGCGTCACGGTTCGGTTGCTTTTTGCTGACGCGTTGGAACACACTGAATCGGACCTACAGAAGAAGACAGAACTCAACTTGGTTAAAAATTGGGTTATTTCTTCGTAATCGACCAACACCAATTTTTCAAGTTGATATGAGAAATGTACACTAATTTCAGCTTGCCTTCGAAGACCTGGTTTCAATTCTTTGAAAAGAAACTTACACTAGATACTCATTTCACTGCCACCATGCGCGAACTACCACTATAATTTGAAATCCATGACGAAATCAAATGAATGAAAGTGCGTAAGGATGAGAGATAAAACAAGTGAAAACGAGTGGGACTGAACATCCGCTTTCGGTTCAGCGTCCAGTTTGAAAAATTTTCACTTTCCGAGAATAAAGAACCCGAAGCAAAACGTGGGCTGCATGTTGACAACACAAATCTTGGATTTTCCTGCTCATCAGTAAGACCAAGCGTGTGCGAAAACAAAACGAAAAATTACATTCTAGGGTGAACGCCATAAAATAAATATAACTTCGTCATTAACCTTGTCCTAGTCAGAGCCAGAAGAGTATCCTCAGTCATGGATCGTTGCTGTAAAACCTTCTTCTTCTCAGCTTGACTAGATAAACTCGTGGTCTTGCGGGCAGAAGAGTTAGAAGGCGTCGTAGTCTTCACGGAAACAGGAGAGTAAATTTTTGAAACGTTTTGTTTGGATGCTGGTTTTCGGGAGACCGACGGTATTCCCGATTTCACTGCTGCTGAAACTGGTCTCGGAACTCTGCGAGGATTAATAAAAATTATTAAAACGCGAGAATTTGAGAATAAATTCGAAGTCTATGTTCAGTGTAAACGAAAATCATTCTTAAGAGATAGAAACTGAAATCAATACATGGAGTTCGTTTCCGCAAAAAATGAAGTAGATAGTAGACGGATTGATTCATAAGTTTTGTCAGGCTTGCAATTTTTTTTTGAAAGATATGGATGGAAACGAGATGAACTTTTACGCAGTAAACTGCACGTACCATCTTTTGGCAGCTGTTCCAACTTTATCCCAGCCAGATAACAATTGAGAGGAGACAAGAGTTATCACTGTTTACTAAAATGAGAGAATTAGAGTTTACTCGAGACTAATATTCTAATCACGAATCAGGATTCCAACTCAAGCGCTCTTGAACTTGAAAAAAAAAAACTGCAGTAGAGAGAATTTCTTGAATTAAATTTCATTCGATTTTTGACAGCAAATCCAAAAAAATCGAAGATAGGACGGCTCCAACGTTCTATTTATTTTCAAGTGGTTTCACATTCCAAAAAAAAAAGTTATTTTATTGAAATAAATTTTATTTTACCCATACTTGGAGCTGAAAGCCTCGTCTGTCACACTTCTATGCTTCAAGATGAAATGATTTCGGGGCCCTTTTTAGTACTGTACTTTAATACGAGACCCGATACCGATGTTGAAAATTCATCAACGACAAAACCATTGGTTAAGTTGAAAATGTAAAAATTACCCGCTCGGTTTAGGGGACTTCGCAGAAATTTTCAAACTCGGATCCCAACTCCGCGTCATCACGTCGTCCTTGCTCAAAAGGAAATCCGGGCCAGAAATCCGAGAGATGGACAAATCCGGCGGCGACACGAACCCATCCCTGGTCTCATCCTCGTCGTCGTCAGCCATGAAATCTCGGATGGCGTCCACGTGACAACTTTGCGCCATCAGGTCAACGTGCCACAACCCACGATTCCTTCTAGCTGTCGAGGGGTCCGTGTATATAGCAGGACTCAGACTAACGTCGTAATGAGATTTATTCGACTTCGTCGAGGATGAAGGAATCGTCGACGACTTGGACGCCACTTTTACCCCGTTTTCTGCATTCAAAAGAAAATTTTTGAACTCAATTTGCATCTTGAGACACAGACTCGCTTCATTGCAAAAACGAAACACGCATGACATAAAGCTTTGAACAGGAGAACTCTGATGAAGAATGAACTACACTGGGGCCCCAAGATACCGAAGCCCCGACATACGGACAATTCGACTTGAAGAAATTTCAGAGTAAAAAAATCTGCCTCAAAACATGGACAATTTATCAAGATACGTATACAGTACTGCCAAAATTTCTTGTTCGACTGAATTTTTCTCATTTTTCAAATGTTCCTACCACTTCAATACATTCAGCTACAGTACTTATACATCTACTGTACATGTATGCCTAAAAATACAAAATGATCTCACAATAAATTCATTATAATTCATAATCCAGAACAGGCGAATTTTCGCTTCTCTTTTTACATTTTTTAGCCATCTGTGTCGATGAAATCTGTTTTTATCAACCTACAGTGCAAGAAAAAATGTAAAAAAAAAAAACGGTGACGACTTGCAATTTTTTTGAGAAACCTCGCAATTATGCTGAACTTAGGCACAACACTAACAGGTTCTTCCATCACAAAAAGCAAATAATTTTTTTAGTGACGGCACAATAGTAATCTTACAAAATTGTGAGCTAAAAAAATATTCCGGATTATACAATACATCACACACACACACACTCACAAATGAACAATGAGAAGACAAAAGTTTTACCTTTCGCGACTCGAGGAGAACTGCAAGGAGTGATACTGATGCTCGAACTTCTCGAGTGACTAGTGGGACGAGAGATTTTTTTGGCGGCTACAATCGGAGCCACGACTGCGGAAACGGATCTGCTGGACGAGTGAAAAACCTGTTCACGTTTTCGCCTACGTCTTCCATTCGGATCATCCACGTCATTTTCCGCACTCAACGGCCTCGTCTTTCCCAAGTCATTGCCTTTGGTCTGGTGTTCTCGAGCTTTCATCAGTACACGCTCCAGATGTCCATCGGGATCTCTGAGAGAAAAAGCTGCAGTGTTTAGACATCTTTCATACGATAGATCTTTCCATGAAGCTCACAGGCCACGTATAACTCGCAAATCGGGATAATCGAAGTTATACGTGGCCTGTGCATTAAGCAGATTTATTTGTCCCGAAATCTTTGGCAGGAACTAAGGATGATGTTTTTAACTGAATCCAACCGTAGACCCAATACTGTACTGTAGGAACTTCCGACGAAACTTCCGAAAAATTACGCTTCCGCCTCACTTACCCGTGGTCTTCTTCATTCGCCATCGGACAACACCCAATCAGATATTCAACGAGTTCCTTGTGTTTATTTGTTGATGGAGGGAAGTGTCGCCCTTTGCCTTGAGAGTACAACCATTCCGCTTTCAATCTGCGTAAAAAATGAAAATCTTGTGCATCAATTTAAAAACCATTGAATTCACCGGAAAACTCACAACTCGTGTTCGCCGACAGGGATCCCGTCCAAGCTATGCAACTGCATGCACCAATTGATCAAGAATGGCCGGTAATCGAAAGAGCTGAAACAGGATAATTTAGGCAATGAAAAAAAGAATACAGGTACATCGGTTTCTCGCTATGCTTCCAAAAAAGGAACTTACGTTTTTTCGCCGGCAGACTGCAAACACGGGTTTGGATAAAAACTAAGTTTCTTCAATCCAACGAAATTTTTCAAATAATACGCTTGGCAGAGATCCGCGATCCGATTATTTTGTAACGTGAGGATTATTAAGGTTTCTTTTGGTAAAAACCTGTCGCAAAACTTGAGATCCGAAATGTGGTTGTCGTGCAAATATAATGTCTGCAAATAAAGTCCCATGATTTATTTCTTGTGAATCAGATTGCGAAATTAAAGCCTCGACTCACTCTCAGGTTCCTTAAATTTTTCAGGTCAGTCACACTGGAAATGCAATTGCTCGAGAGATCCAGGTACTTCAAAGCTGTGTTCGTGTTCAAGTGCTCAACGGTCTGCGAAAGAAGTTCCTTTCTCACTCAACAATCATTCAAAATAAAACATATCAGTGAAGAACAAACCTTGATGTTGTTTCCAGATAAACTGAGCCATTCTAAATGTACGAGTTCTCGAAGTCCTTCGATGGCCGTGATGCTATTGAACGAGAGATCCAAGTGTCTTAGGGAATACATTCTGCTTAACGCGTACATTCTTGAGATCGAATTGTGCGTTGCCGTAAGCTGGAAAAGAAAGAGACACATTTAGACTATCGAAAGAATTCGAAAAGAAGAAATTTTCAACAGCATATCGGTCGAGATAGGTTGTTTAGTGTTACGAAAGATAAAAAAAATTTCAAGAGCTCTCTCCTGGAAGATTACTTTAGTATTTTATACTTTGATAGTGTCTTGTACAGCAAAAATTTATGACGACAGAAAGCTTCAAAAAAGCAACTATATAAAAACCAGACGCATAAAACACCAAGTACTGCATCGAAACAGGAAGTTTCCGAGCACGTAGCGCACAAAAGAGCTAGTACTGAATGAAAAAATAGCGCAATGCACAAAAGAGCAAGGAGGAAATTCGTACGTTTATAGCGATTTATTTTCAATCATAATAGAACTCTTTCCTCTGATTAACGCCAGCAAAATCCAATCCCCTTCATGCATCAAGCAACTAGACAATGAAAAAGTGAATTTAATTTTTTGTTTCAAGACATGATGTTTTTATATAATCAGAAGAAATTGATATTTTACCTTGAGTAAGTTGCCATAGGTATCGACATTTTCGAGTCTCTGAAGCTCATTGTGGTTTAAGGAAAGCGTGGTGACGTTGTAATGATCACACGCCGCGGGTGGCACTTTTTTCAACTCCTTTCCGCTCAAATCGAGGCACTCGAGCGGTTCGTCGTCTATTTCGCCCGACATCCCTATATCACACTAACAAGTTTACAAAACTGCACATCAACGTCAAAACCGATTCAATTTCCAAGAAGATCCACAGGAAGCGTCAACTAAATCAGAGCATGGCATTTTATTCAATCACATTCAATCGAGACGATCCAAATCGTTCGCCGAAGCCTTTCACGGTACGCAAAAAAAAAACAAAAAATTCATAACTTCTGAGGCCTTGAAAAAATAAAAATTACCAGCCTTTATAGATTTCATCTGGGGCTCATTCCATTGAATTTAATCATACAGTAAATTTCAGCTCTCAAAACACTCACAACTCATGATCGCTGAAGAAATAATAAAAAGAAGTATTTCAATCAAAAACACTCTTACTTAATGTCGCACGGAAGCTGGAAGCAAGAAACGATTAAAGCTACACAAAAAATACTTCGAAATCTGCATTCAGGGGTTTCATCGATCACATTATCGCACCTTGATATGCTATGAAACCACAGGAATTCATTTTTCAACTCATACGATTACAACATGATTGTGGAAGACCGTACAAGTTATGCACTTTCAATACAGGTTCTCAAACATAAGCTGAACGAAGTTTTTGAAGAAATACCCTTGTTGGACAAGATAAGGTCCTTACTCAAACAAAAATCATTAACGTTACAGAACTTAACCTAGAACTACAATATTTCATACGAAGTAAGATCATGGACTCGAGAAGAATGAGAAAAAATCACCCTATTTGTCCACGTGAAAAACATAATTAAAATGATTCAGATCTTCTCAACGAGTAATTGCTCCAGCCATACGTTGACTTGAGTGCATCGAGTGTATATGAAAAGTTCAACATTCGACAACAGACTAAAAAAATCGTACAAAATCGGTTACAAATTTACATCTCTAGAAACGGGTGATTTAAAGCCTCACTAGCCGTCAAACGCTCTTTCGGATCCACAGCAAGCAACTTCGCCAGCAAATCGTACACGGAATCCGGAAATACATCCTTGGAACTCCGCACGGGATGCAAAGGAGCCTTGGATGATCGTTTCTTTGTCGGACTCATCTTCCTGAGATGCCTTCGTTTCCAATCTATCACACACAAACATCCCGACTTCCCACTTGCACTCACAGCGACACGGCAGAATTTACACTGACTGCTTTGCTCCACATACACGTCGGAAGCTGGGCGGAGAACCAGAGTTAAAGCGCGAAGGTCCAAAGGTGGACCGACACCGGAACTGACGTCAAACGTCACTACTTTCCCGCACTTGTCGCCAAGTTCCGCGACGGCTTCCGTGCCGAATACCCCAGCGATCTCCACTAAGCTTTCAGCGTCGTCACATGCAGTGAAGAAAGGATATCTTTTACTCAGAACAGCAAGAAGCATCACACCGGCTGACCAGATATCAATTGCTGTTGTTTGCCGCAGGCTTTTAAGCAGGACTTCCGGGGCGCGGAATCCCGGAGTTCCTCCTCTTGGGGCTCGCAGTTGAGCCTGTTCACGACATATTTCGCAAATCCAGCCTTCCCCTAAACACGGACAATTCTCGCCTTCCAGAAACAAATACGCGTCCTTGTTCGCTCCGGGACGATTGGCGTAAGCGTCAGCCTTGTTCCGTGAATATGCGAAACGATTTAGATAGGAGCGAAGTCCTCTTTCCCCACCCTGACGAGGGAGAAAACGCTCGAAAATGTGCGCATTTTTTGAAGAAAACGCCTCGAAACTTGGGAAGAGATCTGAATCTTTGGGGTTTTCTTTAGATATCCGCTTCTTTCTGGCCTTTGTCTGTTTGTCCATAAGCTCCAAGCATTCCTTGATCCTTTGACTGTTGGCACTGTCACGACGAATAAGTCGTTCCCGCAATGACAAATTCAAGCAAGAATCGATACTCTCCGTGTCGGAGTCTTGACTCTGTGGCATCACAAGTTCCCTCAACGGCGTGCTCATTCTTGGCTTTGAACATAATTCTTCATCCGTGAATTCATCATCTTCATCTTCTTCGATAGGGGCTTTTCCGTGCTCATATTGCGCAAGACCGAAGTCGATCAACAAACACCTAAATATGGGAGTACATTCAGATAATTCAGTTCATTCATTCTTCTCCAAAAGCAACTAACTTACCGACGAGATTCGCGATTGAATAGGAAGTTCCCAGGTTTCACGTCCCTGTGCATGATTCCAAACGAATGAACATGATTCAAGGCTTCGAAAAGATTCCGGAAATAATCCTTCACTTCGTCCATTTTCGGATTACTTATCCAGGTCTGCGAACATTGAACGATAGATGAATAGACGAAACAAAACAGGGTATCAATGCAAAAAAAACTCACATTGAAATCTGTCGAACGTAAGAAAGGCATGACGAAGATAACGGAATCAAAATTCCGCACTTGACACAGCAACTCCGGAACGTGGTGCTTCCCCCTGATAGTCAAAAAGGTTTTCATAAATCGCTGACGACAAACTTCGTGTGGAATTAATTTTACCCAAGTCTCAATAGATACTGCAACTCATTCGCCGCTGTATCTATGTGGGACGTTCTTTTCAGCTTTTTCAGAACAACTTTCTTTGCTTGGCCGATTGGATTCGCGACAAACACAGTACTGAACGCTCCTCTGCCAACTTCAACCGGATTCTCAAAGAAGCGCAATTCGGGTGACTCTTCGTATAACTGCTCTAGTTCCCATTTGTCCGGATCCTCTGCATCAACGTAATTATTCATGAATAACTATATCGAAATTATAAACCGCACGAATGCTTTACCGATGGCTTGGTCGGATATGAGATCAATTCCATCCTTCTTCGATGCGTCCTCCCCGGAAACTCTGGATGACAGGAAACCGCGCTCTGAATATCCGTTCGTAACATTGGTGTTCAGCGCAGTAGAACATGACCCCGGAAAATTGTCGAACGAGTTATACGGCGCAGCTTCCGCTTTTTCAGACATTTTGCCGAGCGTCCTTGTTTCTTCGCTGAACATGCTCATGCAGACGTGAAACAAAAAATACTATACCCTAATAGCACCTCCGTATACACATTGTGCCCAATCTAGCCATTGACACACGCGAAAACCTACGAAATCCATGCTTTGGTGTGCTTTTAAGCCACACCGCTGATATGTTTCAATCTGTCGAAATTAATGTACAGTTGTCTCAGAAAGCACAGCTAAAAATCAGAAAATCACTTCAATGAATGAGCTCCATCTGATACTTGATGCGAGAAAGAAACCGCTCCCAAATGAACGGAATGGCCTTCGATTCACTTGCACGCGCCAATCGATTTTCTGTCCGGTCGGTTATGTTCGTCGCCATTTTTTAATGAACGAGGAATGAAGAACACAGTGCATTTCACACATGAGCAGCGAATTTAATTTTTCCTTTTCAAATTTTAGTGATGCATATTACAACAATTGCACAACCTGTTTTCACAGCAATTTATGCAGCTCTTTCGTTGGCAGCCAAAAATTCGCTTCGGATACCTCATCGGAACTTGCTGGTAACTTCGATGTAGGGAGTCCTGCAGAAGGAGTTTTTTTATCCTCCGCTTTTCATCTTCCCTCTGCAACAATAGCTCTATGTCGGAGACAGAAAACGAGTCTTCCTGGAAAATACAAAGATACAAAGCCTTATCGAATCTCTTAAATGCATGTCTTGGAGGTAGTTTCAAGCTGTCCCAGAATTCCGAAGGGCTGAGTGTTTCCACGGAAACCGCCGCCATTTGCTCGATACTCCCCGGACCTATTTGGCAGCGTTTAATGTCTGACACAAAACGGTCATAATTGGGACCAATTCCAGTGTCTGAAGTATTCCAACACTGGACAATTGAGTCCACAGGGGTATTTTTCACCTCTGGTCCCCAAGACACGCCCTTTTCCCTGTGGGAACTTGACGAGGATCCCATAGTTTGGTCGATGAACCTTTGTTTAACGTGCTTTGCTTTTGAGGTCAGACTGTCCATGTTATTGCAGCTTTTATTTGGCAAATCTTCTGTTTCTGTGCTTGAGGACGCTGCTCCAGTAACATCGTCAATAATCGTTCCTGCAAATAATTAAAAGGCCATAGAAGTAATCGACCTTCAAAACGTGACGGAATTACATGATTTACCGAAAACTCTATTGCTCTAAACAGGTGGAATTTTGTACAAATAATTACGTCATGCTGAAGTTTTATAATACTTTTCAAGGTCCAACAGAAAAGAGCTAGAAACAGCTTTTCAATTTTCGCCGAAATATAAATGTAGTAGTGATTAACAAAATCAGTTTGGAGTTTTTTTTTTCAGAATCCTTTGCAATTATTCTTTCTGGATTTTTCTCCAATTCTTCTCTTGAATGCAAAACCTTGAAAATTCTATCAAAAATTTTGACTCTCACAAATCAACAGATTATTTATACACTTTTACCCTGCTTGTGATGGAATATTGTTTCTGAATTGCTAAAACAAGGCCAATATTGGGACCATCAGACAAAATCTGGTTAATACAAAGGAATTTTAAAAGCATTGAAGCTATTGGGTGGAGAAAAAAATTTAAGCCATAATTTGCTACAACATTATTTTTAAAACGATTCTATTGTATTTTGACATTCATGGTAAAGCTATTTTACATACTTTTTGTTCTGCTTGATTTTTTTTCTGGAAATTTTCTTTTATGGAAAAAAGTTTGAATGCCAATAAAATTCATAAAAAATGTCAGAATTTCATGAGGAAATCGTGATACAGTATATGCAGTACTGTAGCAATTTTTTTTATTATAAAGTGATGTGGAGCACTCTCACATTTTTTTATTCATATAATTTCAATATGGGTGAGCTGAAATTGGTACAGTGGGAGCATATATACACAGTATATCAGCAAAGATATTACTTTGTATTAAACATTTGTTCAGTGATTAATGATAAGAATAAGCACATTAGTAGACTGACAAAATGTATTATGCGCCAGCAGATTTCATTTTTTTATTTTCACTGACCTAAAACAGCACTCCCAATGTCATAATGATGCCTAGGACAGCCAGCAATAGAATTTTCTGAAGAAGAATCTGTTTCAGCCCCATGATCCTCCTTCTTTACTTCAAAACCTGAAAATTTCAAAATATATTCAATGAATTGTTTTTTTAATTCTAAAAGAAAAGACTCACGTTCTTCCTTTTCAAATTTTTCTTGAGCATTTTTCAAAGATTCTTCAGCCACAAAACCAGCTTTTCTTCTAGTCAAAATGTTCCACTGTTTATCCAAAGGACTCGCGTAATTTTCACAGGTGGAATCATCAGAGGACGAACCGTGTTCTTCTTCCTGTTGAAACTTCAGATCCTCGTTTATTGTTTCAGTTTTCAGATTTTCGTTTGGAGAATATGTCAAAAGTGTGTCGTGTTCGATGCCAACGACTTCTTCGTATCCGTAAAAAACGTCATCAACGTTAGATGACACTTTTCGCGAATCGTCATTCGGGGAACAAGAACGGATGCTGCTTGAAAAGCTTTCATCGGCAGATTTTTCTATTATGATCACTGGGGGAATTCCCGGGAAACTTAATGTTTTCGTAAGTTTATGTTCGTCTCCCATTTATGACAGCGGTTGAATTATACGCAAATCCTTGAATATACTGTATCGAAATTTTACCCATTCATGGAACACTTGCACCATATGCGAGTGAAAAAGGCGAATTGACTGGACGGGCCGAAGTGCCAGGGAAAACTGCTGGATGGGTCAAGGTTAGATCGTCGGAAAGCTTTTATTCGGGACATGGATTCCCCGCCAGGGTTTCCAGGACTACCATGGTGTAATGTGCCTGAACGAATAATTGGGTCGTTTAAAGAAAACTCAGGGCTACTTTTGAAGCCTAGTTTCAACTCCGGAATGGAAGCTGTGTTTTCTGGATGCGTAAACTTAACATTGTGGTACTTTACTTGTACGATGCACGGGAACGGACAGTACGATATGAGCGCGCTCGTCTACATTCCTTAACAGTTGGAAAGTTATTTCGCGCATCAAATTAGTAGGTGTCGCTGCTTTCCAAATAAAGCGCCAGAGGATGCATACAGGAAAAGGTTACATGAGCGTGAACTACTTCACTGTACAACTGTAAATCTTGGTATTTTATTAGGAATTTTCTGAACAAATATTGATGTAACTTAATGACCACAGCATCCGCTCATAAGTGTCTTGTCTTGTGAAGCTCGGCCGTACTGAATTATAAAACTATACAGTAAAGGGGAACAGAAACCGACGTAATTTTTCATTCCGACGAAGTCAGTTTCCGCCGAAGCAATAGAAAAAAGCTGAGATATTTCTACGCAAAACCCAACTTCAAAAGCATTGTTTAACCACTGTAATTGTCGTCTGGGTTCTTGTGCTGAGCTGGTATATGTATGTAGACGAAGATGGGGCACATTGGTCGCAGATGTTGCGTTCGGGAGCAGCGGGGCCAGGGAAATTTTTCTCCCACGGGTTCGCGTGATGAATAAAAGCAGGGAATGCGGGGACTCGAACGCTCGGTTGCCGTGGCGGCACATGGTCATGGCATACGAGTACATCATATATATACTGTACTGTTCATCAGGGGGGGAAAACAGAAGACAAAGAATAAAGAAAGAGAGGAACAGGAAAAGAGATGCGGCGGCGAAGTTTCAATTTCCTGCTCAGCAGCCAGGGCGACCATTAGGACAAATGCAGAGTCAATACTCAGAGGGGTTCAACAGAAAGTTAAGGGATAATTGTTCGCTTTTCTGGGTTGAGCATAATCACAGTGCCATATTAACTTGAGTACCACTTGCACCTTTCTTCTCTCTCAAAATTGGGAGGGGAAAGGGAGGTTTTGCGTCATAAATGACCAGGCATACATTTATAAAAGTTTTATAAGTTTTGGTGTGGAGCATTATATTCAGTTCTAACTAGAAAGTGTGGACCAATTTCAACAGGCAAACTTGGTTTCAATGGAGATAATTGAAAAATTAGTTGAATTCAGGATTGAATCATGTCTAAATCCAATGTTGGGCATTATTTGTGTTAACTTGCAGTTTTAAAAGTCACTAGGATGGAGTGCGCATCTTACTTGGGGATATAATTTAATTTATTTTTAAATGTTGGCTGAAAAGCCCTGTTGTGTGTCTTACTTGAGGGTGTGTGATGATACTCAAGCAAATGTTGTATACCTGTACTGTAATATCATTTCAAAGTTTCAACCATCCTTGTTATGACAAATTCCTTCCTGTAAAGTACAGTATTTTAATGCTGTTATCCAAAAACTATTTTACAGAAGTGGGTGATCAACGATGATCAGTGATTGAGAGCTACTTCTTATAATTAAAGGAAAAAGGGGATTGGAGATTTAATTCGTTTTCCGCAACTTTTGAAGGAAATGCAAAAGTTACTCCGTGAGAGTATTTTCAAGTATTATTTATTATACTTCCACACACAGTCAGTACCATACAATTCTACTGAGCAAAGCGGCGTAGACTCGGAGTTTGGACAAGGTCTGGTGCGGTAAACTTAACACAACATAAAATGCACCTGTATACATAGCTTTGGCTGGCCAAGGTCAAAGAACGCGCATAGAAACCAATTTGGATTGGGGACGTTACACTTTGTTTATTTAAAGGAAGGAAGCGTGAGTGCAGTTGGGAAAGTATTCTGTCAACAACGGGATTGGGAAATATAATTGCTAGCGAACCAGGCGCAGCCAAGCGTAGCGGAAATACATTAGCTTAAAAGGGTCACGCATATAGTGAAGGGTGTTGTGGTTGTTAATATGACTACAATGCATTTGTGAAGGTTGCAGCAGTTTATAACTTGAAGTTCAGGTGGACTCCTTCTACAACTGTCTTGTCTATAGTATTTTTCTCTGTATAATAAAAATTTCTTTTGATCCTGTAGGCTTCTATAGGAGTCCATGTTGTAGAGAACCCCTTTTTACTGCATGACTTTCTTTTAGATAAATTTATTGAGACCATTGATTCTGCAAATGATTCACTTGAAACAGGAAAAGAGATGCGGCGGCGAAGTTTCAATTTCCTGCTCAGCAGCCAGGGCGACCATTAGGACAAATGCAGAGTCAATACTCAGAGGGGTTCAACAGAAAGTTAAGGGATAATTGTTCGCTTTTATGGGTTGAACATAATCACAGTGCCATATTAACTTGAGTACCA